CACATGTAAAACATTCCCAGGCTATGCTGGCTCTTCTCTCCGATGACCGCAGAGTGAGCTTGCTTGAACTAGAAATTTATCTGAGCGAGGATAGCAGGATCTGGCTGGGGGGGATCCGTCTCACCCAGCCCTACGCCTCGGCAAACTGAAGCTCCTTTGGTAGGGAATAATCATCGCCAGAAAAGGAGTCACAGCCCTGATCTGAAACGCCTTGGGGCGATCCCTGCTCTGCCAGCTATGAGGAGTGAGCCCTAGGAGATGTAGGCACCTGACTTTTTTAAGGCTGTGTTTCAGAAGCTTCAAAACAATAGGCTGCCTCTGATTCAGGACCTAAAAAAACAAATTCCACTTCCTGAAATGTGATTTTTATCCCTTTTTAGTTCTGCTTTGATTATGTCCACCACGCTGGTATCATTTATCTAGGCAAATTTTGGTAAAAGATCTTTAAACCGTTACAAACACATACCCTGTTCCTTATTAAAACAATTGCAGATCTGTTATCTTGGCTTATGGGAACTGATCTAAATAACATCATGATATCAAACACTGAAAACCACAGGCCTGGGGCCACCGGGGCTCTCCTCTCTTTCTGGGCCTTGCAAAGACACACATTTCCAGATACAAAACGTAGTTTACCATTAGAAGTAAATGTTTGATCTGTAAAGCTTACAAAATGACTTTGTTTATCAGAGCAGATGAGAAGAAAAAAAATAAAAAAGGAATAATTTTAAACTCAAAACAAAAGTGTTTATATGACAGCTTTTAGTGCTCCATGATTCTGTGCATTTAAGAGAGCTTCAAGCAATTAACAGCATAAACTTTCATTACATAGTTCTATTATATATGTTTATGTGACTTAGTTGTTCATCTGTTATTTAAGTGATTTCCTCATTACAATAGCATGGTAAAGATATTTGCTGATCTTGTCAAAAAAAAAGTCAAGCAGTTCATTTGCAACATTCCTGGGATCCCAAAGCGAGTGCTTAAATCCTTTTACTTACTAGGTAAGTAAAATATCAAAGCGATTCCAAAACTCAGCAATTGTTTAAATCATGGGGGGGGGGGGG